TCTTTTTTTTGTTGTAAGATTGAAGACTTACTTTCTTAACAGCATTCAACTTACTGGCAATAATGGCCAAATTATACATTAGAGCAAACCTGTTAATCTTATAACTGGAAGTGCATACCTTTTGAACAATATCTCATTACTTTCTATTATTAATAAAGAATATATTCAGAATATAATGAAGAATATGTTCAGAATAGGCATATTTGCTAAAGCAAAAAATAAAGTATTGCTTGTCTAGGGCTAAGAAGATTGGTAGAAATTGAGCAGTGATTTCTAACGGTTTTACTTTTTGTGTAATGAAAATGTCCTAAAATTGATTGTGGTGCTGACTGCACAATTTTGTGAATAAACAAAACCCTCCAAATTTGAACTATGTACTCTATTTCTACTAAGGAATAAGTTTTTTCCCTTTAAGTCTAACCAGTTAAAAATTCTTGGTGAAATAAGAAATCTGAGATGAAGGGTGGAATGCATGATTTCCTCTATAATTAAACCAGTAGTTTAGACATCAGAAATGAAAATTTAAAAAAAAAGTGAATTTCAATATAGTAAGGAAGATTAGATATAGAGAAAACTGACAAAAAGATGTATTTTTTTAAAACCCTAAGATTAAAACACATTTTCAAAACATAAAGCATAATTGTCAAAGCTGCAAGATAGCTGATTGTTTAAATCCATGTTTAAGTTGGTGCCCCATAAAACTCTACTATTCACTGGTTACTTCTTTTAGTGATTTTTCCTTTCTCCTGTTGAACTCAGGTCTAACATAATCTGAATGCATTACAATAAGTATGTAAAAAATCAAACTGTAAAAGAAAATAATCAACATATATTAAAATCCATGGATTAAAAAAAAAAAGGAAAGCTGTCTGAGAAAAAGTTGACAAGTCATAGCATATAGTTGCACAGCAAATGTACCTACAGTTCAACTTTTCATTGCCAAAATGTGGTCCAAGCACAACTCTGGTAAATCCAGCAAGGTCACAGAAGATTATTACATCTACATGGCACTGTACATGTTTCCAGAGACCACATGGAGGTGGAAATATTGATATAGAAAAGCTACCCTCTTTTAGGAGGTAGGATCTGGTCAGAACCAAGAGAATGACTATTGAGTAGATGCTAGTCACATACAAAAATACTCTTTTTAATTGTAGTGTTCAGAACAGACCATCTGAAAATGAGTTTTGGTAAACTAACTGTTCCATGTTACCAAACTTACATTAAGGCTCAGAGAATTCCTTTCTACCTAAACCAAGTTACAAATTCCTTTTATTTTCTTAAAATTTATAAAGACTATTACATTATAAAGATTATTTATACCCTCTCCTCCAAAAAAAAATCCACAAAGGTTTCAAATGGAAAGACAAAAGATAGAGTCACTAAAAAAAGTTTAACTTTTCTTACTCACTGCAATACACATTTAATTGTGAAAAAAGTTATGATTAATTTAAAAAATAAAGGACCAGAATAAATATAAAATAATAATGATCTACTTATTTTACAGTGGGAAACCAGTGGTATGCACTTTCTATTTTTCTTCTGAGAAATGTCAAGTAGAAATAGCAAACTGTCCTCTGGGAAAAATCAAAGTATGTGTGCCTAGAAAAGAACCCTGTCCTCAAATGAATTAGTACATAAATATTCACTGGGGAAATATGCATTATGTGACAGTATGGTTATAGGACATAAAATAGTAGAGATTTTTTTCAGGTTACATAGAACATGGTTCATATACATCAAAAACTGCAATTGTGGCCCAAATTATTTTTAGCCTCTTTTCCTTTCAGGACTAAACTATAGCATAGTTTGTGTATTAGTCTATAGTACTCCTCCCTAATTTAAAGTCTTAGGGGGAAAAAAATACAAATGCATATATTAAAGAACTGACACTATCTGTCAGCAAAAACTACAATACTTTGTAAAGTCATTCATTTTTCAAGTCCCTATAAATGACAAAGCTTCTCCCATCTACATAAACAATTCATTTATTTTACTGTGAAAGACTTTCTGAGGTCACTTAATTCAGCAATCTCGAACAAAAAAATTCTCTATCCTAATACCTCCTAGAAAGATCGATCCATATTCCACTTATCCTTCTGCAAATGTAAATTAATGCTGGAAACCTCAGGGAAACTACTTTATATACTTGAAACCCATACATCAAGTCATTTCTTAGCACTCTCTTCCATAACCTAAATAATTCATAATACTCCAAGTTTATTTGTGTGGTATCTATTCTCCATTAGCCTGTATATTTTGATTTGTATCTGTATTCAATTCCTCTATTAGTGTAGTTAACAGAAGTGGTAAAGTTCCCTGTGCATCTAGAGATTATTAAGAAGGCATCTACAGCTATTAAAATCTCATACCAAGTGTTTATTTTTCTTTGTTTTCTTGTCAAGGAGCACAAAACTGCTTTTTCACAATCAGGTTATATTTACCTATGAACCATGAATATATTTTTTTGATGAACTAGGTCTAAATAATGAGTCTTTCTCCGATGGAAAAATTCTGACAGTGGTTGGTAGAAAATGGCTGCATAGTAACATGAATGTATTTAATACAAGTGAACTGTATACTTAAAAATGGTTAAGATGGTGAACAATGTTATTTACATTTTACCACACATATGAAAAGTCATTACACTGAAGGAAAAAAGCCACACAGAAGTATGTACATATAGCCATTTATATTGCATGTCAAAACATGTAAAATTAAACTATAGTGACAGAAATCACATGGTTGTCTAGGATGGGGGAAAGAGGAGGAACTAACTGTAAAAGGTCTCAAGATAACTTTGTGGAGTGACCTTACATTTGTCAAAATTCAATGAAATATATTCTTAAAATGGGTACATATTGTATGCAAACTGTACTCAATATATTTAAAAATATTGATAAATAAGTTTTAGGAGAGAATGAATGCAAGAGAATAGAAAATAATATTACAGACTCTTCTTTCTAGGAAAGAGATGATGTTGTGGAGCACATAGAAGGTGGTAGCTAGAGGAAAATAGATGCTCAAAGGAGTATTTTATTTCTCAAGATGAGAGAAAAAGAAATGAATTTAATGCCAATGGGAAATCAATTATTTGAAAATTCAGGAGCATAAGAACAAAGGCTAGGAATTTTTTTGGTCGTTGTTTGAGACATATGAAATTTTGTTTTCAAATTCCTCAGTTCAATGAAACTGCATCTCAGTAAACCAAAGAAAAAGGGGAAAAGGGCCACCCTGGTGGCGCCAGGGGTTAAGCACTATGAAGCTGTCCACAGCCTCTGCAGCATGAGTTCAATCCCCAGCTGGCCAGGGAGCTACCCACTGGTGCAGCAGACCTCTCCTGTCTTGCCCGCTGCTACCCTCAGCAGTATTTCAGTAGATCCACCTGTCTCTGGTGAATCCTATCACCCCCCACCCCCACACCTCTGGCCTATACTCCAGTTCTTGTATGCATAAATAAATCAATCTTTAAAAAAAAAGAAAAAGGGTGGGGGGGGAAGCCTTCGCAAGATTAGAAATATGCATCAGACTGAAATATGCATCACAAAAATTTTAGTGAAATCTACAAACCAAGAATATGTCATTGCCATATACATGTGTATTAGTAGTAAATATAACAATAATGGGTTTTTTTTTTGGTGGTATAAGCAAAATCTGTACTAATAAAAACCTTGTACTAAGAGGTTGACCCTTTAGCAAGAAATTACAAGGAACTAGCATTTTGTTAGAAAGCAGAAAATTACTGAAACCAAACAATATGCTCTAATATTTCAGGTATTCTTTAAGCCTGGCCTCAGAAATAAAAAAGATTAGTGAGGGCAATAAAGACTAATATAAGGAATAACATAACAGTTTTGTAATGCTATCAAACATGTGAGAAGGACATCCATAGCCATCTTTGTTAGTAAACAGCCTTGTGAGATTATATTTTCAAATACCGAGTATAACCGCTAAATTTTAAAATTAGTAAGAACTTTATTTCAGGAACTAGAAGAGCCAAAGTCCCCCCAAAAAAGGTTACTGCTGGTCTTAGGTGATATATAAGTCAGGTTAAGGAATGTAGTACTTTGAATTCTCATACCCCATATGCCAGCTCTCAAAACATTACTGCTTTATGCCATCTTTTATATCTGTGAATCTGTGACTTAGCAAGGTAATTTTTAAATTTTATAAAAGCCTTTACAAATATTTTAAGGCCTGAACATAAAATATATTTGAAACACACTTTATATAGTTATCTTTAATTGGATTTTAAAAAAAAGCTTTATTTCCCAATATGTAATTCAATGATTAAAAACTAATATTTTTAAACAATTAGCTATGACCTGTCACTAAATTTAACTTTTACAATGTATATTAATACATTCTCTATAAACATCTTTAATTACCAAGTATTTTTACAATCTCAAAACTGGATGTGTATATTGACAAAGAAATCATACATACAAAACAGTTATGTATAATATATATGTTATACATAATATATAATGGTTATGTATATATACCATTAATAAACTGTAATAGTACATACAAACAGGTAACAGCTATTGTTTTCAAAATTCAAAATGATTAATTTGAAAGCACCAGGAATTTGCAAAATGACAACAGACATTCTTGTTATATACTAAATAAAATCAGTGTTCTTTTCTGTTCAGATTTTAAAGCAAAAACAAAAGTAATTGGTCTGACTCTTTATAACAATATCAGCCAATTGAGCTAAGTTTCAAAATTTTCTCTCTTGTTAGAACACTGTCACAAATAGTTGCACTAAACAATTTTGGAAATCAAGTAAATAAGAAAATGGTTTTCTTACAAACAGAATGGTTTGTTCAGGTGTTTATTCTTTTTTAACTTTTATTTCTACTTTTCTTTCTTTGTTTTGGTGTCACAGAATATCTTTTTTCTAAAAGTCTTATTTTAAAAGTCTTTGCCCCATAAGACCAATAACATCAAAATATATTTATTATTTTCTATTTATAATTTTCTATTTTCAAAAACCGTTGCCTCTCTTACAAAATAATGCATTTCATAGAAGCTCTTGTCTCACCTGGCCAGTTCTTTAATTAAGTTTGCAATGCGTCTTTTGTCTTCCAGACATAAATCCTTCAGTGATGCACTCTTTATTCCACCTGTGCAGAAATTCTATTAAAAAAAAAAATCTTAAGAAAACGTTTAATACTTTTGGAGAAACCTCTTAAAATAAGGTGAAATGTCTTAGTTATTTTTTATTGTGGTGGAGCACTAACCTGTGCTATTTAACCTACTGTGAATTCAGAACAGACTAAGAGCAGCTCCCCTTCCTGTCTGTGACTATGCAGATGCCTCTCTTTTTCTTCCTCTTTTTCCTAATAAACCTGTCCTTTTAAAGTGGTGTTTTTTTTTTTTAAACAAAACAAAACAAACAAACAAGCGAAAAAACAGACTACGAAACTGATTCTCCACCATGGATACATTGTGAAATTTACATTGAAAAGCAGTCACTAAGAAGACACTGAGAAACTACCGGATAACATGAAAGTTTTCAGGGTGCAAGGTTGGAGACCCAGATGGAGTCCAGAGACCCAGAGGAGCCCAGCGACCCAAACTGAGATGATAAATCTGCGAGTCCAGAAAAGCCAAGGTTTAGAGCTTGTAGGGCAGAGAATGGAGATAATAGAGCTGCACATAGAAAAAGTTCTAGAGATCTACAGAAGGTCTCCCTGCAAGTCAACAAGTCACAATGATCAGCATGTGTTTATGAAGAAACATAAGTGAAAAAAGAACTGCACAAAATCCCAAAATGAACTCTGGAAATATTCTCTGTAGCTAAATGCCATGAATGGTCTGTGTATTCCCACTAGTCAGAATGGAAAACCTTGCAATTCAAGGTGCATCAGGCAGATTATTCAAAAGAATACTGCCTATGGTGGGCAAAACTAACCCTGTAATAAAAGCTGCTCTACCAAGCTTTAAAAGAATCACACTTGGGCCTCCCCTGGTGGCGCAGCGGTTGAGTGCTGGGCTGCGAAGCTGCTCACAGCCTCTTCAGTGCCAGTCTGATCCCTGGCCTCCGGGGAGGGTCCCACATGGCACGACAGACCTCTCCTGCTGTGCCCGCTGCTCCCCTCAGCAGTGTATTTCTTTGTCAGTCTGTCTGTTCTGTTCCCTGCTCTGGCTCTGGTGAATTCTCTCACCCTCCCGCGTTTCTGACTGTACCCAGTGTTTGTATAAATAAATAAATCTTTAAAACAAACAAAAAAGGATCAAACTCTTCCACATAACTCAATGATATCCCAGGGAAAAAACCCCCAATTTCTAGAAATTAAAAAATATCCAACATTCACAAGAGATTAAAATTCATACTACCTGTAGCATCCAATAAAAAACAAGCAGGCAGACAGGCAAAGAAGTAGGAAAATATAATCCATAGCTTGGAGAAAAATTACACAATCAAAATCTACCCATAAATGACTCAGCTGATAGAATTATAAACAAAAACATTAAAATAGCTTTTAAAACTATATTCCATATGTTCATGAAGCTAGAAGAAAGGTTGAGTATGTTTATTATAGATTTGGAATATGTAAATAAAAACAAAAGACCCAAAATGAACTTGTAGAGAAAATTATATCGTATTACATGAACAATATACTGGAAGAGGTTAGTGGCAGATCACGCATAGCAGATCATTAATGAATTTGAAGACACAGCAATGCAAACTATCTATAGACAAATACAGGCCACAAACAACAAAAAAATTACACAGTATCAGAGAAATGTGTGTTCAAGTCACCTAATATTTGTGTAATTGGAGTCCTCAAAAGAGAAGAGCGGGAAGACACAAAAATATCTGAAGACATGATGACATAGTGGCTTCAAAATTTCCCAATGTGATGAAAATTATAAACCCAGAGATGCAGAAAGCTCAGCAAATCCTAACCAAGAAACATTTAGAAAACTAGTCCAAGGCATACTATAATTAAAACTAGTGATAAAAAGAAAATTTGAAAAGTAGCCAGTTTAAACTCACACATATTAAATATAAAGGAATAAAAATAAGGGATGGCATTACATTTCTTTTCAAAAACAATGCAAGCCAGGTGCTACACAACAATATCAGAGTACTGAAAGAAAATTTATCAACTTAGAATTTTATAACCAGTAAAAATACATTCAAAAAATGAAAGTGAAATAAATATTCTTCAGTCATCAGAAGCAAAAAAAAAAGATTATTCCCAATATAACTGAAATATAAAAGTTAAAGGAAATATATTAAGCAAAAGGAAAATATTTAAAATGCAATGGTCTTTAGACAATTGAAATAAAAGGAATTCAACTGAAAAACAACTGAAATAAAAGGAATCCAAATTGGAAATAGTAATGTAAAATTATCTCTACTTTGAGATGGAATGATCCTATGTATATAGAGTTATAAGGAGTTTACACACACACACACACACACACACACACACACACACACACACACACAACTATTAGAATTCATAAATGAATCCAGAAAGATTACAGGATACAAGCTCAAATGACAAAAATCAACTGCCTACACTACACTACACTACACTAGCCGTGAACAAACCAAAAGCAAAATTAATGGGGAAAATCTATTTACAATTTTCTTTTTATCACTAAAAGTACTTAGTGGTTGCTAGGAGATGAGATGATTGCAGAATGGGCGTGATTCCCAATATATAGAGTTTCCAACAAAATTTTATTTACAAAACAGGCAGCAAGCATATTTGACCCACAGGTGACAGATTGTCAAAACCTGACTAGAACTCTGATGGAGAAAACAAAATATAATAAAAGTAAAGTGAAATAGCTGTTAAACTAGGATTCAGTCAAAGGACTATATAGATGCTAATGTTACAAAGTAACTACGAATTACTACTAACTTTACAAAATATTAGAGTTAAAGGCAAGGGAGAAAGAAATCAATGACTGGTTTATAAAAACAGTCTTTATATGATAAATTCCAAATGAAGGAAAAACAATAATAATCCAGGCTAAATTTACTTTTAAAACATCTTTCTTACACATAAGGAAATTTCACATGAACAAAAATCATAAACAACTGCTGTAAATTTGATTTACTAACTCTACACAGATTAGGATATATCTATATCCTAATATCCTTTTTTGGAACCAAGTCAGTAACTTTTCTTAGCACTTTAAACTACCATAGATGTTTTGGAGCAAATTTTGTTAGTCATCCAAATATTTTATATTTATAGCAAGTATTATTCAAAGAATCCTAGACTCCTCTATATTTTTTATCATCCTTGCAGATCATCTAATATTAGTTCAAGGGCCCTTATTGAAGAGCTACAGAAAATCATCTACTGGTAAGAATTTAAAAAGATTGTAAATTCAGAAAGAAAATTAAAGAAATTACTGACCTGTTCATCTATTGCATCTCCTGCACCTTTTAAAGATTCCATGGACACTGAGGCAGCATTCACCTTGGAAGTCTTAAGTTTAAGATTAGCTTTTGGACTCAGCAACTTGTGTCTTGATCTGATATTTTCTTCTGTAGACGTTCCTAAGGATTTTCATCAAAGATGATATCAAAATTATAACTTCTCATTCTCTTAATTCCACCCCTCCATACTTGATAAACTTCATTTAAAGTTCTCAATAAGTAATGAATCATGAAGAAATGATGTTTTGAATAAACTAAGGATCTCATTAAAATATTTTTAAAAGGTGTTGTGAACATTCATGAGTCACATTAAAACCAATAAATTATAGCATGTGATACATACTTTAATTTAGGGGAAATTAATCTGATGGTCACATCATTAGGGTACTTACAATTTCTCAGTTTTACTATTCATCTAAGTAATAACCAGTAAACTTTAAGGAGTCTATTATATCAACCCTAAATCAAGAAATTTTTACTTTTCTTTGAAATATTAAATTTCGGCTATTATTCATAACACAAAAAATAAGAATCTCTTGCTTCTTAATATGTAAGTGAGGGCCTCCTTGGTAGTGCAAGTCAAGTGCAGCGCTCTGAAGCTGTCTGCAGCCTCTGCATCGCAGGTTCGATTCCTGGCCTGCCAGGGAGATTCCCACATGGCAGACCTCTCCTGCCACTCCTGCTGCTCCCCTCAGCAGTGTATTTCGGTAGTCTGCCTATCCGCTCTGTCTCTGGTGAATCGTCTCACCCTCCCATGCCTCTGGCCTATACCCCAGCTCTTGTATAAAAATAAATAAATCTTTAAAAAAATAAAAATAAAAAATAAAAAATTAGGTTCTCTGATTAACTATCCTCTATCCAGTTCTACCTGCAAAGTTGTCCTAAGGTTTCATTTTCTCCTAACATTTAAGAAGCAAAGGAAAGTTAAAAATTAACATAGAAAATCATACCTGGAACATATACTACTGATTGTTCTTCATCAGAAACTTTGCAGAAGGACATGAAGGAAAACAATATAAAAGATAATCCAATATCCAACTACATGCTTTGTCAAATGTTGTAAGACTTTGTTCCATAAAACTTTTATCCATGTTAATTCCCAAGTGAGGTACTGTACTATTAGGGTCCTTTCATTTACTTTCCTTTTGCAAACAGAGAGTTAAGTGTTCTAGTTTGCTCATTATTGGAGAAATGACAAGTTATTTTAGGCTTGAATAAATAATTTCAAAAAAGCGTCAGCTTTCAAGAACAAACACTGTTTGAGGGCAAGTCAATCATGCAGACACAAAGACAATTTCTATCCTTCTGCAGTGCATTCATGAAATGTCCCAAGAAGCCCTACTATTTAACAAATGGAGGAAATTTAAGACAAAAAGAACTATTTTGAATTTGAAAAGGAGAAATTTAGAAAGGCTAAGTTCTTATCACTACTATAGAAAGACAACCAATAAGAAACCTTTCCTTCCAGAAACAAAATTTTATTCAGAACTATATCTAAATCTGGGTATGTCCATAATAACCTCCTATTACACTTTCAGAAAGAAGTATCTAAACTATTTTGTCCAAATGACCTAGAAAAATTCCAGTTTTCTGGTATTCTTTTTATTGAGGTAGCATTGGTTTATAACAATATTTATAATTCAGAGGAGTTTTCTGTTCTTTTATATAAAATGTGTTGTTTCCAAAATTTCTAGGCAAATTAATTATTAACAATTTCCCTCCTGGAAATAGCTGAAGTAAAATGGTGAATTTAATAACATGTTCAAAAAATTCACTATATTTCAGTGCAAGATTAACCCTTGTAATGGAGTCTTTTTAGGGAATGCTGATCCGAAATGCCTAGAATCCCTATGAGAATTGAGAAGACAACTGCAGTGCCAACTGTTGAAGCTGTCAGGTGGTCTCTAACAGCTCTCTATACTAGACCATGCACAATCACAGCTTCAAAATTTTGGCTAATAAATAATGCCCTAAACTTTAAATTCCCTCAAATATCAAAGATGGAGATTAGAAAAAATTTAAAGGCATATAATACAAATAAAGCATTAGATTCCACAATGCCACGGAAACTTGATAGAAGCTAACACTGGAGCAGAGAAATTCCAAATTTCCTGACACTTAATCTATCAGCCTAAGAACACAAAACATTAAAATCCCCTAAAATGAAATTAAGCAGGCTCCTTAACAACAAAAACTGATTCAACTTTTCTTACCTACTGGTACTAACAAAGGGCACTGCAAACACAGTAGATGCCCAATAAATGTTGTGCTATTTGAAAAATACATAAAGAAAAAAGTATCTGGAGGGGAAGAAAAGAAGGCAGGAGCTCAAGATTCAAAAAAGTTCCATATGGCCATGTATTCAATTAGAAAATATATAATTAACTTACAGAATATTCTACAAGGATGAGCTGTGGAAAAACTAACAACTTAGGTCTTGGAAAACATAGGACACTTCCCTAGACCATTCACAAAGGAGCCTAGACAACAGACCAACCACTGGGGCCTCTACTCAGTTCCCTCGAAGATGAACTTGGAAGTTCAGGTATTTCATACTTTCTTTTCTCAAACTTGACACTACTTACCCCATCCTTACTCTTTGCTAATAACTTGGTCTCCCTTTTCATTTAAGACAAACAAATTGTAGAGACCTTCCACAAGCTTCCACCAACATATCTAATTGACTGTCTTATATTCATGTCCATAAACTCTATGTTCCCTCTTTTTACTATAGATGAACTGTCCCTGCTCCTATCTAAAGTCAATGTAGGCCTTATGCAAAAAAATACCATCCCTTCTTCCTACATGATATTTTCTCCCCTCTTTCATGAATCATTTTTCCTATTAAACTTTTTCCAGCGTCCAAATATATAATAATTTTCTTTCTCCTGAAAACAAAACTCTGTTGAGCCTATGTCTTTCTCACTAACTACTGTGCCATTTTTGCTCCCTTTACAGCAAAACTCCTCAAAGGAGTAATCTATTGATACATTCACTACCTTCAATTTCTCTCCTCTCATTCATTCTTGAACCTATCCCAAAAAGCTTTCCACCCCATCACTTTAGAACAACTACTTTTAACAAGGTTACCATGGTCTCTACATTATTAAATCCACCAGTCAATTCTCAGGCCTGACTGTATACGATCAATAGCATTTGCTATAGATAGCTACACTCCTCCTTAAACCACATTTCCCCTTAGCTTCAAAGATACTATACACTCAATTTGATCCCGACCTTCTAATTTTAACTCTTACGCATCTCAGTCTCCTTAGATTCTTCCCAGCCTCTTAATCTTAGAGTGCCTCCAAAGTCCATTCCTTGGACATTTTTCCCTGTTCATTTCCTTGGTGATCTCATTCAGTCTCAGGCCTTTAAATATTATCAATATGCTACTGTCTGCCAAATTAATCTCTAGCAGAAGCCCATCCCCTACATTTAACATTGCCACTTAGATGTATAAAAGATAACTAAAACACACACACACACACAAGATACCTCAAATTCAACATCAAACACTGAAGACCAAAAAAATTACAACATAATAAAGTCAACAACCCTGAAAGAAACAAATGACCACTGCATTTCACCTCAGAAACAACAGTACTGTGGAAAGGGTAGGAAAAATTGTAATTAAACTGGGTTTAGAGTAATACCTAGGCAGTACAATCCAACACAGAAGAGCAGCTATTGTACAGAGCTCCTCTGTTGTTAACTCAAAAACTGGCATTACACTGGAAAAGGAGGTACAAGGAGTTGGCATGGAGGACAGAGGGTGTACCACTGGAAAACCATACCATACTGGCGCAAAATGACTACTGCCTTGAGCCTAACTCTCCCAAACTAGAACAACTGGAGCCCAAACCAGAGGGGAGAGCCAAGTAGTGTCAGCTATTTGGTGATCAAGCATAGTGAAACAGTGTCTCCTCATAGAGGCAACTACTATTTATATCTTGAAGCAGTGATATACCAGACACCTGTCTTGCCACCACTAAGAGCCAAAATCAAGACAATAACCAGAGTTTGAAGCATATGGATCTTCATAACAGGAGTAAGCACCCAAGAGTAAGACTCCATGTTCTAAAAGCAAAGAGAAAAATTCCCAGCTGTGGCTATGTCTTAACTTTAGTCCTCACCCAGCACTGCATCAATTGCCTAACCATAGCCTAAAGGTTGAGACTGGCATAAGACTTGGAGACATTTTGGCCAAGGAGGTGAGTACAATGGACCCCCCACACACAACTTAGGCAACTAGCACTGTAGAACCTTGAACACTTGATGATGAATGGAGGTGACCTTTCAGTGCCCTAGTGCCCCAGTCCTCACCAGCACCAGGTCTATAAAATAATAGATACCTAAGGTTCCTGGATAAAAAAAAGTAGGATTATATTCAGCCTCTTTTAGGAGAGGTATAAAGCCAATTTAAATTTATTAAGATAAGGAAACTCCCTTTTCAAAACAATAAAAATTAAAAATGAAGAGACAGAAGAACATCATTCACAAATGTTGGCGCGAAAAAACCATAAGGGAAGCGTCAATCCAGCACTGCCATAGAATATGTCTGAGAAGGAGTTTAAGGAAAGAGTTATAACCATGCTTGCTGAGTTAAGAAAAACAATGAAGAAAAACAGGATCACAATAAAGACTGAGAAAAAATGTGACTGTTACAACAAGAACTAATGTATCTAAAATATACTGTAACTGAATTAAAAATTAGAATACAGGTCCTCAACATAGACAAATGCAAGTAATGGAGAGAATTAGTGAGTCTGAAAGTACAATGGCAGAGAACAAAGAGAACTAGCATCCATATCATCCATATCATTAGAGATGGAAAAGAAAAAGGCATAGAAAATTAAAAAAAAATTGCTGAAAACCATATCAACCTGTTTCAAAAGGACTAAAATGTTCCAAACAAAATAGTATTAGACTGACATACACCAGGACATATTAGTATTAAACCACTGAAGGGCAATGCCAAGGATAGAATATTAAAAGTATCAAGAGAAAGAAGAGTAACCTACAGGGAAGACCTATTAGACTGTGAATTTTTCAGTGGAAACTTAATAGGCAAAAAGAAAATGACAGGATATATTTAAAGTCAGAAAAAGATTTCCAATCTAGAATACTTTCTTATGTAAGACTATCATTCAGGAATTAAGGAAGGGTAAGGAGCTTCACTGAAAAATAAAAAATTAAGTGCATATAGCAACACGAAGATAGACATGAAAGAAATGTTAAAGGAGTTAATATAAAGCAACAATATAGAAATAACAAATGCTTAACTTATACAATGAGGAAGAGGAGGAGAGTAAAAATGTGGCCCATTAGAATGCATTTGATATCAACCCATCCAACAGGATCCAAAAATAGTCCATCATACTTTTCAGCAGAACCTTCAGACAAAAATCAACAGAAAAAGAGAGAATAAAAAATAATAATCAATAAATAATAATCAAAAAATAATAATCAATACAAGTAATATAAGACAAAGGAAATGGAAACTAAATATAAAAGAAGGGTGTCAATAAGTAGACACACTAAAAAAAAAATCAAAACGATAATAATCATTTATGTCTCTTATATTACATAGAAACAATCTAAGTGCCCAGTGATTAAAGGACTGGATGCAGAAGATGAAATATGCAATTTATTGCAAAATGGAAGGAACTTGACAGAATTATGTGTAGTAAAGCCAAGGCAGACTGAAAAAGACACACATAACCCAAGGATACCAAGCCCCACACCTTATGTCATCTCACTAAAATGTAAGCACTGAGAGAGGATTTTTGTTTCACTTTGGTCAATGTTGGTATCTCCAAACATCAAAGAATGCCTCCTTGTAAGCCACCTATGAAAGAATGAGTTTGATATTCATTTACTTTTAAAGTCACTGTCCAACAACTTTCAAAGTCACCTTTCTCTATTTTAATCAAACGAAACTGGCAAAACTTGTTAGCTACACCATGCTACATTTCTTTTTAAATATAAAAATAACCAGTAAACCTCAACAAAGTCTTGAAAAGATTTGACTTTGCCTCCATCCATTCCTTTCTAATCCTTGTAATCTGTCTTCATCATATTGTCATGAGAATCCAAATATTTATCTTCTTCAAATACAGAGATGCCCACAAAACATACATACTTTATGGGAGAACAAGAGAATGCTCATACCAATCTATCCAAATGCCCAGAATTAAAACATCAAAGGCAGAAACAGTAGAGAGAAGCATGTCTAGATTACTGGAATCTGAAAGAAACTTAGTACTGACAACTGTAATCTTATGAGTTTCATTCAGTTACCATTAACACATGAATATGTAATGATTAGTGACCACAACTACTTTGCTGGATTGCTGGATAGTATATTAATGTAACATCCACATAAATTCTTTGTCTATTTTTAATTGAAAACTCAATGGCAGAGATGATAGCTATAGCAATGTTTTCACCAGGTCCAGTATTTCTTAATATCAACTTACTAATACTGTTAATACACTTGAGTACATTTACATTCACATTTAGATGCTGAAGAACACTAATTTCTGATATTACTGAGAACAATAATGAAGGGGAAAGGTGGCTTATTGCTTGCACTTTTTTTTTTTTTGTAGATTTAACCCAAAAATGACAATATGGCTTATATATTGTTTACACATTAGGTACAAAGATGTAACCTGTGCAAAACAGCACTGCTGAACCACACTGTGCAGGTGATGCATAAAACATAAGAACAACAGCAAAAACAAAAAAAAGGTGACATTCAGTCACAGATGATCCGTCCTCACATGAAGGAAACATAGGACTGGGAACTTTCTCAATCACATTTTTCTAACTGTTCAATAAAGGTGAAGATGGAAAATCTTTGAAGAATGTGAAAATACCAAATTATAGGGACATACTTTTTTCTGATGAAAGTTAAACCATAAAGACTTTGGGGTGACTTGGGAAATCATTAATATGACAAGAAAATAAATCAAGACCCAAAACACATGACTAAACCAAGTGACTAATAACTATGGATATGCTTTTTAGCAAAGATTCAGTAACAAATTTGCATTTGATTTAAAATGAAAGTATCTTATGCAGGATGTTAATTGATCATTTTGTGAAATAGGTTGGGGAAACAGGCGCTAGTAGAACCCTTTTAATTCCATTCAAGCAACTGAATTTCTATAGGATGTAGTCACAACCATTTTTCGTATACAATTTCAACTCTTCACTTTCAATAGAAAGACGGTATTTTACAGTAATTTTAAGAGTAAGGGAGAATGTAGAAGAGAAGGGAGGATATGACTTCTAGGTGAAATAGTAACAGGACAAATAAGTGAGTACAGACAACTAAGACCAAGAGCACAGGTTAACATACCTGTTAATTTATTCAGTTCCAACCCAACAGACTGCTTCCCCCATACACCATTTATTCTATATCAGAGCAATATCATTGGTCATAAAATTAAGTAATAATAACCAAAACCACATGGTTATGAAAATGTACTAAAGAAGCTTGTTACAAGCTAATAACCTACTTGTACCTCCTCTATCACAAACTTCTCTCAATGCAGTGGCAGTGTTTCAGGACAACAAACTCATTGGCAATTCCTGACTTCCTGATTCAACCCAGTTGTTCCCAATGAATATATTCTTTTTGCAGCCCTACTGACAGGTAAAAGAAAAAGTACTTAATTTGCATGGTGCATTAGTGTGCTTTCATCCAGTATGCGAAATTGATTTCACTTGATTCTCACCAACTTAACAGAGAAAAGTGGTACTTCTATTTAGAAAGTGCATAAGACAAACACTGAGCAGCATGAAGTGCAAAAATATACCTCTCTCCAAATTATGACACTTCAATTCCAGTAACTCAATAAAGGAAAATGATAAAAAAAATTGTGTAAGTTTCACAGGGAGTTTAGTAGAATCTGCAAACAATGATTCTGCCTCTAACTCTGCTATCACCAATCCCAGTAAAGATACAAAAAGACTAGCCTCTGCAGCACCCAACAATAATTGCCTTCCTTTCAGTAACACTCCTCCAATTAACATGACGTAAACCATCATCAGGACCAAAGATCAGGTAGGAACAGTTTACCAAACCCAGGGAAACGCACTTGACATCTCATCAGACAATGAACCACCGAATACAACAACATGGTAAAAGTTCCACTGCTGCTCCACCTCCAAACAATCCAAGAATGTCAATATTGCCAGTGGACACCCATAATCTATATCTTCAATCGACGGTACTTCCCAGCAGGATGATTCGGATCCTACTCAGCAACAAGCACCACCAGATCACGTCCCAGGATAAGGAGACCCAAGACCCGCACCCCTTCTAAAATCCCACTACGAAAATAAATTCTCACTGACAAGCCTTCGAAGTCCCACAAGGTCCTGACATTCCTAAATCAAAACAAAAAGGAACCTGGTCCAGCTGAAACGGGACAAACCCAACACGCTTCCCTTCTCCTCACAAGGACACAGCGAGCCCGAGGTGACCCAGGGCGGGGGGGCCCTGGAGCCCCAGATCGGGCCACAATTCCAGGCCATCTTCCAGATCTCAGGGACCGCGAGGGCTGGGAAACATCTACGCTGAGCCCCACCCCTGAGCTCCAAACGGGACTTGTCGCCGGCTGGCCGGCCATCTGATTCCCGGCACCTGGACCACGGCCGGACGGGCGGCCGCGCCCCCGGGGTTCGCACAGAGCTTCCCCTCCACCGTGAGACCCACGCGATCGCCCGCAGGAGGGCGGCGGAGCCCCCTGCCAGCCCCGCAAAGGATACAGTCCCGGCTCCAGAACGCCGCGGCGCCCGGGCGGGAGGGGCCCGCCACGTCCGCCATCTTGAAACAACCGCCACTCGGGGCGCCGCGCCCGGCCGGCTCCGCCCCGGCCCGCAGGCCCAGAGCCCATTGGCCGCACGGCGCCCAGGCCCGCCCTCGCCTGCGCGGCCGGCCCCGGCGGGGTGGGGCGGGCGGGCCCGAGGAGTCGCTGTGTACCCGCGGCGAGGGGTGGAGCGCCCGCCCGGCCCGCGGAAAGGGTCGCCCCGCGGAGCTGCTGCTCCCAGACCGGCCCGGGCCCCGCATCTCTGCGCCGCCGAGAGCTCAGGCGCCGCGCACTACAAGTCCCGGCATGCCGTGAACGCCACGGCCCCGCTGCGGCGGCCCCCGGCCCGCCCTCCCGCCCGCCGCGCCCGCCGGCCCCCCGGCCCCCCGGCGCCGCACTGGCCGCGCGCGGAGCCGCGACGCGAGCCATGGAGGACGCGCAGTCCCCGCTGCCGGGGGGCAGCAAGCCGCACCTGGAGAAGCTGACCCTCGGGATCACCCACATCCTAGGTGAGGGGGCGGGGGCCGTGGGGGCGACCGGGGGACGAGGGCGTGTGCGCTAGGAGCCCCGAGGAGCGACGGGGCGCCGAGCCCGGGCTGCCCGTGGGCACCGCGGCTTGGACTTGCGTGGCCACGGGGGGAAGAGGGGGTGCCGGTGTGGCTAGGCCGGGGAAGGCGCGCCGGGAGTGTTTGGAGGCTGTGCTGGGAAACCCTACGGCCCCCGAGGAGGTGCCGCCCCGGGGCTCAGGAAGGACGGGGAAAACGGGCAAAGGGGGGACAGCGGACTCCTGACAGTTGAAATGTGGGGTCTCCCCAGAGGCATTCTTGTGGCCAAGGGATAAGTATCCTTGAAACTGAAGCCCTTCCTCTGGGAGCAGAGAGAGCTGGGGAAGTGCTGCAGCCATATCCTCCCGGGACAGCTCCCTCCGAAGAGGTTGAGAGCTCGCCCCCCTGGATGGAGAGTGATGTCCTTTATTGAACCTTTACTTAGCATCTCCCGCTGTGTTAGACTCCAGGGCTACAAAGAGGAAAAAGCAAAAACACAGTTCGGGGGTGGGGGGATCAACAGACCAGGTCTGTAAAAAGTGGGAGAGGTCAGTAATCGGTTATTGTGCAGATGCGGCCCACAGGAGGAGGTTATTGACCTTATCTGGGGAGTTAAAGGGCATGTCCCACAGGAGATGATGGTAGATGTTGCAAGGTAAATGAGAATTATCCAGATAACCAAGAAGGAAAAATGCAGTCTCAGCAGGCCGAATAGCATGCTTCCCTGCTTTCCCATCACATAATGAAATCCAAATTCTATCCCACGACCCACAAGTCCCTTGTGATCCACCCTCATCCGTCTGTCTGACCTTATTTTCACTCTCCTTCGACCACTGTAACCTCCTCGTACCACAAATACACTAAGTTCCTTCGGTCTCTAAGACCTTTGCAATTTGCTGAGACCCTCCTCCTGAAATTATCTTCCTCATAATGTCTTTCCCACACGTTATTAAAATCTGTGCTTTAATATGACCTTACATAAACCTTTCTGAATAAAATTCTAATAACATCTCTATCATCTCCCTCCCTTTATCTTATATTTTATCCTCATGGCATTTATCACTACTTGAAGTTAGGTATTTATTTGGCTGCTTTTTAAATTTGTCTCTTTTCAGTAATTAAAGTCCATGAATATAGCAACTCTATGTTGTGCTTCCCTGTACAGCAGGTGGTCCAATAAGTCCTTTAATAACGCTATTTAGTCCTATTCAACATCACTTGGTGGTAACACTGGTTAAGGGGGAAAAAAGTTGATTCCCAGCTGGAGCCACTTCTGCCTGAAGCTGGCACATTCTTCCCAGGTCTGCATGGGTTTTCTTTGGCTACTCTGCTTTCCTCCCACATTCCAAAGAGGTGCCTGTAGGGTTGACAGGTGTGTCTAAATTGTTCCTGTGGGAGTAAGTTGGTGGAGGGTGGGGGGCAGGCATTGTGAGTGTTCCCTGTGAGGGAAGCATGGCCTGTGGTTTGGATCCCACCATGTTCCTTGAGCTGTTGGGATAGGATCCAGCCACCTGTGACTCTGACCTGGACTAAGGGTATTGGAGAATGAATGAATACAAATAACTGTGTAATAGTACAAATGCTTTTGGCTTTTTATTTAGAAGCTTAGTGATGTGACCAGAACTACACCATAGGAACTTACCTCTTGTTGGTATCAATTAGTCTATGGTTTAATTGTTCCTTATATGTCACTTTGTGTAAAGTCACAGTTTCCAAGAACCTATATGTGACGTTATGGGAGAACATACAGTGTTCCCCAGTGCCAAAACAGTGAGTGAAACATGAAATCATGATGTGTTTGGGAAAGTAATAAGTTTTAGAAATGAAATTATAGAGTTGAACAAGGAGAGAGCTAATCATCAAGACCACCCATAACCTAGCTCGTTATTTTTATCCAAACTTCTGCCCTGTTGTGTTTACGGATTTAGTCAAGCAGGTCTTGCTATTGTCCCATTATTCCCTTTATAAATCTTCATTACTCCCTTCATAAATCTGAGTTTTCTGTAAATAAGAAGTTAATTTCTTTTGTTTAATGTTTAGTCTACTCAAGCCAACCAAATTTCTCTTATGTTGTTTCATATAAAAACCTTGTAGGGTAAGTGAATTGGTTAGGCTTTTACACCACTGGCTATCACCTGCAGCCTTGATTGTGCTAAGGCAGGAGGCGCTTGGGAGTGTGGACTCAGGGCACACATGCCTGATGGTGGACACCTGGAGCATGGTGTGAGCATGCGCAAGTGTGCACACCTGAGCCTGGAGGCTGAGGGTATAAGTGCGGCGTCACTCAGAGACAAAAATGGCTGCAGCAGAATGGCTAGGAGAGGACAAGCGATGGCTATGAGTGGAAGAAACCAGAACGCCAGAGAGAGCCTAAAGAGAAAGAGTAAAGACTCGCCAGGGACTGCCAGCCTCCAGGCCCCTAGCCTCCCTGCCTTGCCTACCTGTGTGCAGCCTTGCCTCACAACAATTGGTATAGAAAGAGCAGAAAAGCCTGAAAAAGACATTGAGGGCTCCAGGATTCTCCTTTATCCATCTGCCTGAATCGATTGAGAACCTGCCCCGTGCTTTGTTCCACTACAGACCTAAACAATTAAAAACTATTAAAAATTTTACTTAAACACTTAATATATCTATTATTAAGTAGTTCAGATATCAGATAAACTGCTAACCCAACCCTATAAGGCAAAACCTACTAAGGAATTAAACAAGTCTGTAATCAAATAGAGTTAAGCTAGCTTTCCATAAACATTCTAAAGTGTTTATAAGGTTCATCAAAACTTCATAATTTATTATTTAATTAGTTTTATTGAGATGTTGGTTTACATGTATATGTTAATATATATATGTGTTTAGGTTCATACCTCTTCATAGTAGCAGTCAAAAGTGGAAACAATCCAAATATTCATCAACTGAATAATGGATATACAAAATGTGGTATAGCCATACAATAGAAAATTATTTAGTTAGAAAAAGAAATGAAGTACTGATATATGCTGCAGTAGGGATGAACCTTGAAAACTAAATGAAAGAAGTCAGGTACAAAGACCACATGCATGATTTCCTTTACATGAAATGTCTAGAACAGACAAATCTATAGAGACTGAAAGGTTAGTAGTGCTGGGGAAGGGGAGTAGGAAACACTGCAAAAGGTACAGGGTTACTTTTGGGGGTAAGGATGCGTAATACTGAATATACTAAAAAACATCAACCACACATTAAAAGGGTGAACTTGAGACTGTGAATTATACCTCAAAGCTATTTTTTAAAAGGAATTCTAAAACCAGCCCTCCAAGGTTTCCTATCCTAATCCTCAAGACTATGAAACTGATGAAATGTCACCCCATGATGATATTATATTAAATGACAAAAGGGAGATTTTCCAGGCGAACCTGATCTAATTATATAAGCCCCTTAAAAGAAGCTGTTAATAGAAGAGGAAGTTGAAGAGACCTGAAGCAATAAAAGGATTTGTTATGCTGTTGCTGGCTTGAAGATGGATGGGAACACTTGACAAGGACTAAAAGACGCTTCTGGAAGCTGAAAGTGACCCCAGCTGACAGCAAGCAAGGAATGGAGAATTCAGTTCTACAACCACAAGGAATTAAATTCTGTCAACAACAGAACTGATCTTGGAAGATGACCTGAACTCTGAATGAAAACAATTATCACCTGTTACACCTGGCATAAAAATAGGACTGTAGAGCAATGATTTTAACATTAGCAGAGAATCCAGTCATGCTGTTCCAGACTTCTGAACTACAGAACACTGACCTAAATTGCATGTTATTTAAAGCTGCTAATTTTATGATTATCCATGCCATTATCCATAATAGAAAACTTAACACCTTCCACATTTTAAAGAGCACGCTTCAAAAAGAAACATAAGTGTAATGTGATCACAAAATTATAAATTATACTGATAATATCAAATCTCTCATACCAAAAAATATGAACCATCTATTAGTAGAAAAGATTTTAAATCTAGATCACATAATCAACTATTTGTTGTTTCCAAAAGTCTACCTAAAAGCAAATTTATTAAAAATGCTAAAAATAAAGGGATGGCTATGTGTTTCTGGTTACCCACAACACCCACACCTTCAATGATTCGCTGGAAGAACTCACAAATATTCCAGCTATAGTTTCTTGTATCGGTCAACAAGGGACACAGACATGACAGGTGGAGTCTTGAAGCATCCATAAGCATCTCAAGGTTTCATTTCTGAGAGTGGTCACGTGAAATATACTTTTTTTTTTTTAAGTAGTGAAATGTAAATATGTGTGAAGTGTTTCTTACCAGGAAAGCCTGTTTAAGACTCAAATTCAGAGGCTTTATTTGTTCTAGTCACATAGGGAGAACAACTTGCCATTATTATCAAGGTTTTGGACTTGAAGGATAGTGTGTCAAGAAATTTAGTGGTTAATGCAGAGGTGGGTAGAACATCCTTATAAATATGAAACATATCCAAAGGCCACAGTCCCAGGCACCAGTCAGA